TTTCTTCCTTCCTTCTAAAGATACTCGATACTCAACTGGTATCGAGTCTAAGTTGACTACCTTAAGAGATTTAAATAATTTTATAATGAAATGTTGTGGATAGCCATGATCAACCAGCCAACACTTACCTCTTCCCAGTAGAAACAAAATTGTGACGTGTGTCTAACACTGTCCATAAAATAATACTAAGTAAGACTTGAGCTTTGACCTTTTCCTCACCTGTGATTTCGATCTTCCAACATGTTTCTTTTGAAACAAAAACTGCCTGTTGAGATTGCTGACATCAATAGTATCCAAATCAATCTATAAACACACAAAAGACAGCCATTTCACTTTTACAGAAATAAAAGGAACAAAATCATTAACAGAGTTTGAAGCAAATGTGATTGACCAAAATGCATAAACTTTACAGATCCCTTTTCAGACCTGCATACAGGTGTTATGCCTGCACTATAGGAACTGTCGAGGCACAAATGATCACCTAATCATCTTCAGAAATCCATACATTTTAAATAATTACTTACAACAGAGCCATATGTCAAAAATTAGGGCTACATGACAACAAACTTTCCGAAGAAAGAGTCCCTACTAAAAACGCACATGAATTTTGACATACATTTGCACAGTGGTTAGTAGAAAGTTGGTAACTGATTGTCCTATTTACCAGACAATAAAGATTTTAGTGAGAATTCATCAGGAGCACACTGTACAAACTCAGAGGAGATACTGCAGAAATCTCTCTAGATAGGTCCAGTCAGGCTCTACATGGGACTAACCACCCTGAACGCTGGCTCTGTACCACATTTCCCCAAGGTCCAAGAAGACTACTCAGCAAACTAATTAGTATTTCTACTTTATATTTGACCATAGCTTTGAGCAACTGAATCAGTAAACCGAGGGCTGTATTGTCATCTAATTCATATACTGCAGGGCAAAAGCTTTTACTGTTTGTCACCAGGACTAACTGCTGAAGTGCATATTAAAAAATTATGAAGTCTACTTATAAAAAAAAAAAATTCCAATCATGCAATCAAAATGTTTAAAAACATATACCACAGCACACCTGTGATGTACCACCTCAAAGGATGCCATGACTGCAATTCCCCTAACAGCCATGTTTCTATTAATATATGCACATGAACATCATAATTTCAAATGTCTTTATGTCCCACCACAAGAATTAAGATTTAATTAGAACTCTGAGAAGATTTATTCCTACCTTTGATGCCACTACTTTTGCTTTCATTAAACACTTCTCTCTCATCAACCACTCTTTAGAAATGCTCTCCTGTCCCTAACTTTTAACTAGGAGGGGAGACAATTTTCCTCACCCTCAGAGGTATTTATCCCAAATTCCCACAGATAATGCTGACATACTCAACATAGTAACGCTTTCAGCTATATGGAGAGTACTATCAGACTGACTGTGCAGTGTGAAGTTTAAACATGACCTACTAAGGGTATGCTTATATGCTTTTAATTTTATTAACCAAAGTTGAATAACAAAAAAAGCATGCCACACACTTCTCATTGAAGATCCTTCGCATGCGAGATCCAAGCTCCAAGATTAAACTTCCCAATATTTTTAAATTAAGGATTAAGTTTTAATATACTAAGAACTGTAAATAGCTAAAGAGTTCTATTTAAACACTAAATAAGAGCACCTGCGGATATAGAGCAAACAGAAAATATAAAATGTTTTAGAAATGTGTTATAAAGCAGAGACTGTTAATCTTTATTGCCTGTAGTATCGTAGTAACTACCCATGGTCTTGTATCTTTTCATGAAAACGGTATTTGCATGAAAAAAACCATTTCTACCTCCTTTTCTTTCTCATAAGACACACTCAGAAAGCTTGCTTAGTCGTCCAAAGCCAAAAAGCCCGAGAACCTCAAGTGAAAATTAAGTGCATAATTCTGTTAAAACTTCCACTACCCAGAAAGCTTTTAGTATTTTAACTGGAGATGATAACAAATGACATAAGCTACAACTGAAAACAGTACTACCAAGAGCAAAAGAAACAGAGGAAGTTTTTCTCCACAGAGAATACTTGAGACCATTAGACCTCAACAGAAGCTTCAATCTAGCTAAGAATGATCATAATTCAACAGTTCTCTTTATTTTAATAACTTTTACACTGCTCCCATTTTTGTAAGTTAGAAGGAAAGGCCTCAGAACTTCCTAAGAATGTATATTGGTGTTCTTAATTCAGACTTGCATTTTGAGTAATTTCATTTTGTTCTTCATTCAGGAGGACAATGGCACTGCCTTTCAACAAAGCATAGTTAATGAAATTACATATTTGTGAGTTATCTGGTATTCAAAACTATTAGATTTTTTTTTTTTTAGTATCAATATTTTGGTTTAAAAAATTTTCACAACTTATAAAAGTAAAAAGCATTTTCAGGTGTTCAAATTTGTTAGTATTTAATTACCAAGGAAAACTCTCAACAATATCACAAACGTTGACAAAAGCAATTTATTCTTCTAATAGTGAATTTCCTCTTTGCTAACAATTTTCTTTTTGCTCTCACCTTGCCTTTTGCCCACCCACTCCGTATGTTATCAAAATGTTACTGTCTTGCATAAAACACTACCAATGATATTTTTAAATGAAGATGGCCCTGCTCCAACATGTACTTAAGTTAATGGAGTCCAAGTTGGCCTTGAAAGACAGTACAAAAAAAATCAAACCATGATAAGTGAAACAATAAGCATACCCCAATGAGATTTATGCCTAATGACTAACTGGAAAATTAGAAGATATTAAACTCTTTCTATTATAACAGACTACAGGAATCCACAAATGACATAGTAAGGTAGGGGGAAAAAAAAAAAAAAAGAGGGTAAAAAACTGCAGAAAATACAGGCTTCCACTCTTCTGCGTTGCTTACTTCACCAGTACAATGTTAAAATTGGACAGGCTCTCAGTGGCAGACTCAAATCAAAGGGACAATTTAGAAATGCACTTAAGCATACCCTACAAGTTTTAAAAAGTATTTCAGTAGAAAAGCCTGAGCTGTATGAATAACAAGGCAGACCAGTAGCTATACTCTTCTACAAGCTGATATAGTTTTAGGTAAGAGCTGCTTCTAATAAGCTCTGCTCAACAAGTCTGACTGTAAAAACAAACTTCTTGCAGCTTGTGATACAAAACTCTCAGATGTGACTCCTGGCCAGGCACACACAAGTAAAAACGCATTCAAGGAAAGGGACCTGTGCTCTAGCTGGATTTGTACTCCTGCGACTTCTTAAAACCATATACTTTTCACAACTACACTAAGAAATTAATAAAGATCTGGAAACTAGGCAATCAGAGTTTTGCTAACAGTATTTATCTCTATCCCGTTTACACGGCCACCCTCTCAATTCTGCCCTTCCTATACACATTCAGAGATTAGCATCAGGAAGCAAAAGTGAAAGCAACAGCCCGCGGGAAGCTACCGTGACCGGACTTCTGAGACTGACAGTTTTACAACTCGGTATCTAAAAATACAGTTCGCCTCCCACGTATTCTGTTTTTCGCTGCGATCCGGCACCGGACCACTATCCGCAGCAGTGGCAAAGGCGGCATTAGGCAAAACTAAGACTTTAAGGAGCAGTCGCCGGGCAGCAAAAATATGGCACACCACCACCGTTTCCCAGGAGATTTCATCTACGGGCTCCCAAAGCGGCGCAGCCGCTCCGCTCCGCCGCCGAGCGACGGCT